AGGGCGCAGGGCGCGGGCTGGTTTGGGAAAAAAAACAAATTGATGGGGAAAGAGAAGGTTCCAGACACCTTTTTTTTTTTTTTTTGGGTTTGGTATTTGGGTTTGGATAATTTAGTGGGTTTTGGTTGGGTTTGGGTCTTGGTTTAAATTTGCTGGTGGGCTCAATAATGGGGTTTGGGCTAGATTGTGGGTTTTGGTAATTTTTCATCCTCAGCCTTTCAATTTCTTCGATTGAGTCCTCTTTCTTGAGTTTCTTTTCCAATTTCTTCTTAAATTTCTTTTTGCATGTAGTCCCTAAAACAAAAATAAAAATATAGATAGCTTAGTTAAATAAAAGGGGAAAATTCATATTTTTATATTTTTGTTTTTTTTTTTGGATAAAAATTTGAGTTATGACAGTTTGTCGACGTGGCAAACCTGCATGCTAAAGGTATATTTCTATAGCATACTAGGATTTCTAGTCGATCTGAGTCTTGTGCAAATGTTTGTGCAGGAGAAATGAGCAGCATTTTGGAGAGGCAGCGTCAACGAGCACAAAGCTCGAGGAACCGTGGAGCTGGGTCCGGTTCCCAACGACAAACTCGCTTTGGCGAGCGGCCACCTGTTGCACTGGGGCGCAGTTCGTCCCACAGAAGTTCGAGCTCGGCACCAAGACATCATGCCGAGCAAAGAGTTAAGACTGCGCCTTTAGGTTCAAGAAGGCGTGCACGGGAGGATTCTGATGCTGAGGATGACATTCCCCTCATCTAGCGAAGGACAAGCATGGGATCTCAGCCCGCCCCAACCGCTGCAGTGCAGCCTGCCAACGTGCCCCCAACGCCGGCATGTGAGGTTGCTGAACCAGCGCTTGCTTCGTCATCTGTATCGGGGCCAAGAATTGCATACTCGAAAGGCTTTAGTTACATCAAAACTGACTGCCAGGCCGCCATGGTGCAAGGTATGCAGAACTTTGTGCCCCCTGCAGATCGACAACATGCGAAGGGGCACGTCCAACAGCATGGAGGTCATACTGCTTTACTGAAGCTGATGGACGTAAGTATATTCAACGAGCACATTGTTTGTACTCTATAATTTTGTGTTATAAACTAATGATTGAATTTATATGGTAGGCGTTTAGCTACATCGTAGCACTCTTTGAGTGCGAGCAAAGGGCGCGAGTGCAGAACCGCGAGCTCCAACAAAACTACTGTTTCCCAAAAAATCCTTAACTAGCCTTTATCACGTGAGTTTGGTTATTAAGCGTGCCACTTACTTTGTCTAAAAACAAGAAAATAGGATTTTCCAAACGACCCTTCTCCTTTCCAACGGTCGACCTCCAATAGGATGGCTGGAAAGAACGTTTGTGAAATGAATTACACCCCAGACGATGTTGCAAAACAGAGGATAGAGTTCTGCAAAATGGGTTACTAATTGCCTTGGAAACCTCCAAGAACTTCACAACTAAACAAGTGTAATAAAAGCTACAAATCCTAAAATAAATGCAATATCCTAAAGCAATTAAACTAATATGAAGTAAATAACAGAAAATAACATGCCATAAAGATTAAATTCGCAGACAACAGAAAAAGTAAAATAACAGACAATGATTTCGACTACGCTGCCCATAATGATAACTAAAACTGAAGAGGAAACTATGAAATGATTAAAGTCTGGAAACTTATAAATTTAAATCTAGAATTTGAAATTAACCAAATGCATGTCTAGATATTATGCAGAAACAAAAGAACAAAGGTAGAAAACGTTCATCCTATTTACATGAACAAATAACATAACTAAATCCATAAAAGGAAGAAGAAATCAAAAGGGCAGACCTGTTTTGAAGGCTAAGTTGCTTCCAAATGCTTAAAAATTAATCTAAATTGGAATTTGCGGGAGAAAATATGAACAAAGATGAACAAACCTAGGCTAAGGCTATGAACTAATCTGGAAAATTTGGAAACTATTGCTGAAATCTGGAAAATGCAGTCTGAAAGCTGAAAAACATGCTCTGGGCAGTCTGTGTGTGTGTTGGGCAGGCCTTCAAGCAGTTCTCTTCTCTCTGTATTTATTTTCTTTGGTGTTGGTAAACTTCCTCCATGATCTTCGATACTGTTCCTCCATGATTTGGTAGTAGGGTTGTAGGTCTGGCAGTTTTTTAACAGTTATCCAATAATTTTTATTTAACCTTATCTCCAACAACCTTAAAGATAACTACCTAAAAATCCTCAATTTCCCATTTTAAATCAAACTCAAACTACCAAATCCAATCTTATCTTCTACCACCTAAGATCCAACCTCCTTGAAAATCCGTCTGGGCCATTAAATTGTAAGCCAGTCCAACCCAAATCCAGCCTATTGATTTTCTTGATAATTAGGTTTTACCTTAACACGTGGCCTTACCCTATTGGTTTATTTTAGGTGTAAACAACTGCAAACAACTGGCCTCTTAAAAAGCCAGTTTGGCAGACGAGGTCAGTCGTTTGCAGAGCTCGAAGATGGCGAATCAAGTGACGTCCGCTGAGAGTCGAG